AGCTTAAGGTGTAAGCAGGCAGATCCACCGGGAGACCCCTCTGACGAGAGACTCCTAGTGTGTGTGTTCAGGGCTACAGCATGTCTCTAGAACAGGGTTTTGGGAAGTGGGAAAGCCCAGCACTCCCATGTGGTTAGGTGAGGTGGGGCGTCCCTTCTTCCCTTGTCCTGGCAGATGTCCCCATGCGGCGGGACCCACACATTCTCATAGCACAAAGTAGAGTCTGAGGTCACGGAGGTGGAGGCTGAGCCAAGCTGCACCTGGCAGTTCTGCAGAAGGAAAGTGGACCATGGCTGGAGGGAGGCAGTAGGACCTTTCCTGGCAGTCAGAAGGACCGCAGAGACAGGCAAGAGGCGTCAGAGTAAAGCAGATGGAATGAGGGATGGGAGCAGGGAGAGATAGAGGATTTGGGGGTAGTGATGGAGGGTTGAGTAGGGAATGGAGGAGGAAGAAATGGAGAGAGAGACAGAGAGTTGGAAAGATGAGGGGAGAGGGAGAGAGAACAAGAAATAAACTGAGATCAACACAGAAGAAGTACACACCAAAGTGAAAGAGAGAAAATAGACCCAGAGACAGAATCACATGTAGAGAAAAACAGAAATAGACAGGGTGACAAGGAGAAAGGCACGCAGAAAGATGTGTACACAGATGGGCTCAGAGGAGCCCATGGGGAATGGTGGGTGGCGGGAGGAGAACTGAATGCAAGTGCCCATTTCTGGCCAAGCCACTGCCAGGCTAATCCACTTCCTTTCTTGCTACAGACAAAGAGACTGAGGCCCACAAAAGGGTTGAGGCTTGCCCCAGATTAGGACATTCAGGATTGTTTCTGACCACCCAGGATCTGAACATGGGCTTGGGGTACCCTGGGGGAAGGCAGAGGCAGAGGCCACCTCCCCGCTAACAGCCAAACTGCCAGAGGCTTACCTTCTTGGGCCGGAGACCCCAACTCTCCCTTCACCTATCAGCTGCACCTCCCTGAGGAAATTAGTGAACTGGGGGCTCAGAAAATGGAGACAGGGAGAACGCTTCTCCATGGCCAACTGCAGGGGGCTTAAGACCTCAGGGCGGTGGTGGCAGCAGGGCTGTAGCCTATCTGGTGGCTGGGGTTGGTGACATTGGCAGGGCCACTCGGGGAGAGCGGAGTTCCCTCACTGCACCAGCTCTGCCCTGTGTTCTTGGCTGGGGGCCCCAAATCTGGTTCTCCAACTCACTCAGTGGCCCCATAAGCTCTCCAGTATCCTTTTAACAAATCCCTTTTCAGCTTAACCCAGCATAGTTTTGCTTTGTGAGAGGCAGCAGAGCCTGGGTTTGAATCCTTGTTTTGCTACAAGTTGTTATTTAACTGCTCTGTGCCTCAGTTTCTCCATGTGACAGAGATTATGTCTCTGCCATTGGATAGCTGTAGGACTAAATGAATTAAGCAACAGTACAAGCTCGTGGGTGCTCAGACACTGAAAAACCAACACGGGTTGCATAGAGAGCACTAAAAGGGACTCGGACACATGGGCATGCAACATGGTTCTGCCAGGGACTGGTGTGTGTGACCACACACAGGACCCCGCCCTTCCCTTGGCCCTGGCTGCATTTGGAAATTGCTCTGGGTGAGCAATTCAAGGCTCTGACCCAGCATCTCCCACACTTGCTCTCTGTAGCTGTTTGCTAACCATGCATCCAAAAGCCCCAAAGGCCTGATCTGCACCCACGGCACCCTCCCGGGCTCTTCCCCGTGCAGCCAACCGCTTCCCCAACGTCTCCACCCAGATGTCCTCTCAGCTCCTCAATGCCAGCACATTCCCAGCTCTGCTCAGCAGGCCCTGTGTGCTGGGTGCTTTCCCTGGCTCCTCTACCTTCCCCTCTCCCAAGGTCTTGTCAATTTCAAATGCCCAAAGTCATGGGCATCCACACCCTCCTTTACTCCCACAGTCTCCCCTCTACCTGGGGCTGTGCAGCAGCCTCCTCTCCCCCTAGAGGATGAGCACCCCAGAGTTGAGCTCCTCTGCTTATAAGCCCACCCAGCCTCCCTTTAGCAAGTGAAGCCTCTGTAACGCCCTACAGCTTTGAGCTCTACCCACTCTCCAGTCTCTGTTTCTTTCTCCAACTCTCCATGCTCCATACAATGCTCACTCCTCCCCAGACACAAAGCCCAACGCATGGACCTTTACTCACTCCATCCTCTCAACCGGGAGTGCTTCCCCTATACCTAATACACACCAGTCAAACTCCAAACTGTTTCCAGAAATCCAACTCAGAGGGCTAAGTCCTCCCTGATCCTCCAGGCTGAAGTCTTCTTTCTGTCCTTCTAAGCTCTCCTTGCAAACTGAATGTCTCTCCTGGAGGCACTATCGCCCTATGGTTAAGAGCAAGGGCTGTGGACTCCCCTGCCTTCACTGGTGCACAGGTGCTGGTTAGAACCTTGCACAAGCTACTTCACGTGTCTGGGTCTCAAGTGTTCTCGTCTGCATTATGGTCATAAAAGCAGCACGTATCTCAGAAGGAATGAGGACGAGTGGGATTATGGACACACGGGATCATGGACACAAGGCTCTCTTCATGGTGTAAAGTGATCAACACTTGATAGTTCTGTGTCAGATTCTCTGTGCTCAGCAGAGTTGAAAGACTGCAGAGATGAGTGTCTAAGCAGCCATCCCTTTTCAGGTGATTCCTGCCCTCTAAGGAATAAGGCGTCAGTGGGAGGTTTGGCTACAGCATAATAAGATCGGGGCAGGAAAAAAAAACCCAAAAAAACCAAAACCAAAACAAAAAAAAGATCGGGGCAGGAAGGGGAGTCGGACTCTTCCTCTTCTTCCTTAGGCTTCTCACCAGAGTTTTCTCCCTTTGTTCTGTCTAAAAGAAGGATTTCGTTGGAAAGGCAAACAGAGGGAGGACGAGACATTGGTGGAGAAAGGGGAGGAGGGAAATCAATTTCGCACTTCTAGGGCCACTAACAGCCCTTGCTCTTCCTACCTGGGCTGACCTCACAGCCCCAGGCACTGGCTAATGGCCATACTCCCCGCTCCTACTCGTTCATCCAGGTCGGTCCCCAGCAGTTACAGCGCAGGCAGCACTTTGGTCTAAATGAAGAAAATTGTTCATTAGACACCAGGAGCTAATTGGAACTGCATCTGCCAGGCTCAGTGGTACCCTGACCTTTTCTCTGCTTCTCATTTGACTTGATTGATATGAGTGGTCTGGTATGTGTCACTGCACCACCTTGGGGAAACCTTCCTTGTCTCCCCATCCCCATTCCCAGAGTCCTCCTGCTTCCCACATCAGGGCATTTATCACTCTATTCTTTTTGTCTATTGTGATCATGAGTGAGGGTCTCAGTACAGTGTCAGTGCAGTGGGTTGGCACATAGTAGGTGTTCAATAAATGGACTGAGTAATATAGTGCTCAGCTCAGCTATGAAGAAGAGACCCAAAGTCCTACCCCAGGGGAGGGGGCCTTCAGGCTAGTTGGCAAAAACAAGCTACAGCCCGGGCTGGGGTAAGGACCAAAGCAGAGTCCCCTTGGGTTCACAGGCTGTGGGCTGAGATGATGCATCACCCCATCACCCCTCTCTGTTCTGCATGGCCCTTAATTAACTCCAGGCCCAGTCTGAACAAGGTATCCTGATCTCCACTGCCCCGCCCTACACAGCTTCCAGAATCTTAAAGATACAGCTTGATGATGTTCGGACTTGGAAGGCACAGGGAAGCCATTCCTTCTGCTTGCATACCTCCTAGGCTGGGGATCTCACTTTCTTTCAGGGAGATCTGCTTTAATGGTGGATAGAAAGCATGTGCTCCCTAGGCCCACCAGAGCCCATGCTGGGGCAGCCTAGGGGAGAGGGGAACGTCTCTTGGCATTGGACGCTTACACTGCTATCTTGCCTTCTAACCGTCTCTCACCACCAAGGCCTTGGTCTGAGAGCTTGTATGTGTGTATGTGTGTGTGTGTGTGTGTGTGTGTGTGTGTGTGTGTGTGTACATGTGTATGTGTGGCAGTGGTAGAGCAGGGCCACTGCTGAGACGTGGACTCTCAGAAAGGACTTGTTAGGATGTTTCAGGGTCAGGGGCTTCAGGCAACAGCCCCAGACAGGGTCTCATGGGGTGCTCAGCTGGGGGGAGGGAGGGCTGGAGATGTGATGGAGCTTCCAGGTGGGCCAGCGACTGCTGCACCTACAACCTACAGCAGACCCTTCATAGGGGGCGTGTGCACACGCGCGTGTGAACACACACACACACACACACACACACACACTCACACCCAGAACCCTGACTGAATACTCCACCTGGAAGCTGTGTGACTCCTGCAGTCTCTGCTGCCCTTGTCCCCAGGGTGTCAAGCCTGCCCATGATTTGCCAGGAGGAAGGATGGCGCAGGCTGCTCTCCCCGGGAACTGGGGGCGGTCCTGATTCAGGCGCCACTCATTACCTGGGGCGCAGGAGTGATGCTGCCCACGGTCCCTGATTCACAACCCAGTGGGCCCGTCTGGGATGTCGGTTGGGGAAGAGTCCGCACCCCACGCCCGCCCCCAACATCTGCACTCACCCCATCTTCCCTGCCTCCTGCCCTCTTCTCCTCTCCAGGAACGGAGGTCACTGGACTCATTCTGGGGACTTGGGGACTGAACACTTCCGCGCGTGTCCCCCTCTGGGGCGGGGAAACGTTACCTAAACAAAGACCCGAAGCCCCAATGGGGGAACTCCAGGCACCCGGCACCGGCGCCTACATGCGGGAGAGAGGGTCGCCCTCCAAGAGGAGGAATGATTTCTTCTCCCCTTCCTGGGCTCTCACCGCAGGGAGCACGGGAATCGTGGGCACAACGCCGCCTTTCTGAGCTCAGGCGCTGTGCTGGGGCTGGGGGCCGAAGGCGCGCCCCCAAATGGAAAGGGTCCTTGACTCCAGCGGCGGCCCTCGGCAGGTCCCTGACGCCGGCCCCGAGCCCTCCCCGCTCCCTGAGCCGCCTTCCCGCGACGCCCGCGTGGAGCCGGCCGCCGAGGGCCGGGGGCACTCACGGGTCGTGTTGTACTTGACGCCGTTGAAGTACTCGGGGCACGGCCTCTCCACGAGGGCTCCGGCCGCGCTCCGGGGCCAGCACGTCCCGATCTGGTCCAAGGTCGTGTTGCAGTGGGAGTAGGGACCTGGCGGCAGGAGAGAGCGGAGCGGGGCTCAGAGGGGCGGCCGGGGCGCGGGGCGCACTGAGCGCGCGGGGGAAGGAGCCGCGCCGCCTGTGTCCGCTGCCTCCCCTACCCTCGGGGCCCAGGGCCGGCCCCCAGGCGTCCAAGAGCCGCTCCTCGGCCAGCGCCAGGCTGCAGTTGGCCTCCA